TGCTCCATGCCGTGGTCGTGAGCCCTCTGAGGTCAGATCATCCCTCAGATCGCCTAAGTCCTGTCTGTGGTTCCCCTTTGGGGAGCGCCTGGTGGAGATGCAGGGGGAGGGCCAGGTATCGGGAGCCAGGCCCCTCGTCACCGCCCACCGCGCCCCTCCCCCTGCCCACAGGCGAAACAAAGTCCTGAACCACTTCAGCATCATGCAGCAGCGACGACTCAAGGACCAGGACCAGGATGAGGAGGACGAGGAGAAGGAGAAGCGGAGCCGCAAGAAGGCCAGTGAGCTGCGCATCCACGACCTGGAGGATGACCTGGAGATGTCGTCTGACGACAGCGAGGCCAGTGGCGAGGAAGGTGGGGCCGGTGGAGCCCCCTGGGTGGCTGGGTCGTACTTTGTCAAGGCGTCTTGAGTGATGACTCAGGGAGGTTAATGCCACTGAAGGCAGGCTGAATCCCTCACAGCCCGCTGGGAATGGGAGCGTGACGCAGCGGGCCCCACGGGCCCCTGGGAAGCACCGCAGTTGGTAGGAGGCAGAAAGCAGCGACGGGCACGTCTCAGCGGTGGCCTTTATCGGGACTTCCGCGGGATGGGCAATGCGGGGGGTTGGCGGCGAACCGCTTCCAGATCGGCCGGTTCAAATAGTCCTGGCAGGCCCTGGGCTACAGGGGTGGTTTCTGGTACCCGGTACGGGGGCGGCGGCGGGGGGGGGGGGGGGGGGGGGGGGGGGGGGGGGCAGGGGGGCCGCAGGGAAGAACATGGTGGCCCTGAGGATGCGGGGGAGAGAGAGGGAGTTGGCGGTGGAGACTTGGACTGGTCGGGTGTGTGCGTGCGAGGCGAGTGCTTGGGGGAGTCTCTCCCTGGTTAGCGCGGGCCCCCCGCGTGTCCAGACATCCTCGGATACGCCCACGGGGACGCGTGCCAGCCTGAGCCCCGCTCTGCGCCCCCAGGTGGCAGAGCCCCCAAGGCCAAGAAGAAGGCACCGCCCACCAAGGGGGGCAAGAAGAAGAAGAAGAAGAAGGGGTCCGATGATGAGGCGTTCGAAGACAGCGACGATGGGGATTTCGAGGGCCAGGAGGTGGACTACATGTCCGACGGCTCGAGGTGCGGCGGGCGGCAGGTGGGGGGCCCCGGGCCGGCGGGGCGCCCCGCGTTCCCTCACCCCCCTGCCCGCCCCCGCTCTTCCAGCAGCTCCCAGGATGAGCTGGAGGGCAAGCCCAAGGTCACGCAGCAGGAGGACGGCCCCAAGGGCGTAGACGAGCAGAGCGAGAGCAGTGAGGAGAGCGAGGAGGAGAAGCCGCCCGAGGAGGACAGAGAGGAGGAGGAGGAGAAGAAGGGGCCCCCGCCTCAGGAGAAGAAGCGCAGGAAAGGTGGGTGTCCCCCCCTCCCCCCGCAAACTCCCAGAGCCCCTTGTCTGAGGTGGAGCTGGGGCGGGCGGGCACCGTGGCACTGACGTCCCTCCTCCGGCCCGAGCAGACAGCAGCGACGAGTCGGACAGCTCGGAGGAGAGCGACATCGACAGCGAGGCGTCCTCGGCGCTCTTCATGGCGGTAAGGCCCAGCCCCGGGGCGGGAGCCGGCGGGCGGGCTGTCCCGTCTCTAGACTCCCATCCCCGACCCGATCTCCGCAGAAGAAGAAGACGCCCCCCAAGAGGGAGCGGAGGCCGTCGGGCGGCAGCTCGCGGGGCAATAGCCGGCCGGGCACACCCAGCGCGGAGAGCGGCAGCACCTCGTCCACGCTGCGGGCAGCCGCCAACAAGCTGGAGCAGGGTGAGCAGCCTCGTCCCTCTCGGCCGCCGCGCGCCGGCCACCCGCGCTCCCTCGTCCCGCCTCAGGACCGGAGGCCTGTCCGCCCCCGAGCCCCCTGCATGGGGGGGGGCGGGGCCGGAACGCTGGCACCCCCTCCGCCTGGGCGCCCAGGGGTGCAGCCGCCGGGCACAGGACTCAGCCCCGCCCCTGCTCCCCCAGGCAAGCGGACGAACGAGACGCCGGTGGCCAAGCGCTTGCGGCTGGACCCCGGGCCGCAGAGCCTGTCGGGGAAGTCGACCCCTCAGCCCCAGTCCGGGAAGTCGACCCCCAGCAGCGGGTAAGTCGGCGAGGGCAGCAGGGCCAGGGCAGGGGCGTGCAGGAGCCTCCTGCTGACGCGGCGCCCTGCCCTCGGCCCCTCAGGGACGTGCAGGTGACCGAGGACGCCGTGCGCCGCTATCTGACCCGGAAGCCCATGACCACCAAGGACCTGCTGAAGAAGTTCCAGACAAAGAAGACGGGGCTGAGCAGCGAGCAGACGGTGAACGTGCTCGCCCAGATCCTCAAGCGGCTCAACCCCGAGCGCAAGATGATCAGCGACAAGATGCACTTCTCCCTCAAGGAGTGACGGGCTCCGGCGCCCATCCGCCTGCCCAATAAACAAGCTCCGTCTCTAGAACTTCCTGGGTGCTCGTGTTGTCTGGCCCCTGCCCCCCCCCCCCCCCATCCCAGAGCGCCGCCTTGTCAATTCCAAATCACCCCGGGCAGTTTTCTCAGCGGAGGTCTCTCCGTCTCATGGGCCCGCTCCCTCTGGAACCTTCCACTGCCCCCTAGAGCCTGTTCCTCTTCGTCCTCAGCCTGTCGCACTCACTGAGCATCCAGCCCGCATGGGCACCGTGGGCCGTCTCTCCAGCTCTGGCTTCTGGTTCTGTGTTTAGTTGTAGCTCGTCCCCCTTAACCCATGAAGTGCTTTGTTTCCATGTCTGTTCTCCAGACCTTGAATCATCTTTGCTCCCTTTTCAGATCAGCTGGTCTGTTTTACGCGCCTTGCCGCTAATGCTTTCAATCCCTTCTTTCACGTTTTTGTTTTAAGCATCTGTCTCATTATGGTCTCTGGCAGGTAGATACCTGGTTCCTGACACCCGCGGACATCCTGTGTTACCTTCTGATTCCTCTTCACGATCGATTGTTGTGTTTTATAACTTTGGATGGGGACCTGAGGCCGGCTCAGGGCTTCTGTGGGGGCCTCCTGGGCAGTTGGCTTTGTAGGCCAATCCTGCAGGTGCTTTTTGCCTTTGCTCCCTCCCACCAAGGTGGCCCAGGAGCCCTGGGCTGAGCCCGGGTTCTCAGCTGGTGGGCTCTGGCCCAACGTGGCCACGAAATCCCAAACGCTGTTGTTGCTGATGTTGGCACCTGGGCCCTATTTTTCAGCTTTCCAGCGATGTTTCTAGGACTCCCCTTATTTCTAACAACTTAGTTAGGCATTTATTTTATCTCCCGTTGCTGGCGTTCTGCCTTGGGAAGGCTTTTTGAGTTTGTGGACAGTTTTCATTGAGGGAAATGGAATTTGGCCGTGGTGCCACTTTTGAACCCCTGTTCTGCGTGATCTGGCTGGGGTGGGGGCAGGATGTGGGGCTTCTGCCTTGCCCGAGGCTGGATACTGGGTGGAAAACTTCCCCACCCAGTTCCACAGGCCCTTGGCCGCCGAGCCGAGATGCCAGAGATGACAGGCTAATTCCTAGGAATGTCCCAGGTCCGTTCAGCCTCCCTCCCCATCCTTCCGCCAGGCCTTTTGGGGGCAGCAGGAAAGCAGTGTTGCCCCTGGCCCGGCGATTTTACCCCTGGCCTCCCTGCCACGGGACTGAGGTCTGAGGCCTCCCCAGCCGGGCCGGCCGACGTGCCCCAGTGGTTAGGTGCAAGGGCCTTGTGTTCAGCAGCATCTGGCTTAAAATCCTGCCAGTGTTTAATTCTGGGCCACCTTGGACAAGTGACGGTTTTTGTCGGAAGGTGGTCCCAGCAAGCACCACAGTAACCACACCAGCAGGACGCAGACGGAGTTTGGGTTACTCCCAGTCTTGCTAACCCGAAAAGCGGCTCCTGAGGTTGTCTGCTCACCTGCGTAGGACGAGTTCCTGAGCCCGTGTTTTCCTGGGGAGGAGGGAGGTGACTGGCAGTTTCCGGAGCAAAGGCTCAACTGCTGCGGGTCTGCACCCCTCTCCACGGCCTGGGGTGCACATGCGTCGCACACACACCCCCAGCCGTGGGGAGGCATGCGCAGGTTTTTGCCCCCTGGCTGCAGGCTCCTACCTGAAGTTTTCGCCCGGTCTGACCTACAGGGGCTCGAGCACCTCTTAAAGCACGAGCCCAAGCTCTCTCGTGCTTCCTTTGCCTCAAAGGGAGGCTTGCTCTCGCAAGCTCCTCACTCGAGCAGCATGTTCAACACTAGACGGGCCGTCTGTCTGTCCTCAGAACCTCTGACTGCCCCCCCTCACAGTGAGGGAGGGCCTCGTTTCCCTGAGGTCACAGGGGCTGGGCATGGAAGTCACTGGAAATTGTTGCCGCCTCTCAGACCCTGCAGGCTTACCCTCCCCTCTCGCCCTTATGCCGGGACGGGGCTGAGGTCCCAGGGGCCTCAGGTGGGCCTCCCAGAGACAGGAGGCCCTGCAGGGTGAGCTTCCTAGCCTTGCGTCCCAGGTTCTTGGCTGTCCCCGGGCCTCTCCCTTTTCCTGTTTTGATGCTGGCTCAGCCAGGCCCGGAGACAGGGGCATGATGTCTTAATCCTCCAGGTGGCAGCCATGATGGAGGATCCCCGTCAGCTCGGCCACCTGCTGACCTGTCTCTCCCCGCTACCCCCCTCTACTTGGTGCACAGTGTGGGGACCCCGGAGCCCTGGCACCCCAAGTGGGGAGAGGGTCCCACTGTGGGTCCTCAGTGCCCCCCCCACCTCTTTCCAGAAAGCAGGTGGGGTGGGGGACCCCGCGCCCGCCCTGGGTTGGGCTCTGGCTGCCGCAACCCTCGTAAATCAGGGGTGAAGGGGGTGTCGGAAATGGGTCTGCGGAATGTCTCGATGGGGCGGGGACGGGGTGAGCACTTAACTCTTAGAGGCACAGGGGGTGGGGCAGAGGAACTGGCCTGAGGATGCGGGGTCGTCCTGCCGCTACCGCAGCGGGAACGAAGAGGTTATTTCCCCCGCCCCGGCAGGGGGATAAATTGAGGGTGCGAGGCGTCCCCCACCGCCACGACCCGCCCGCCACGATGGCCACAGGAAGACTCCTACTCTGCGCTCTGCTGCTCCTGTCGCTGCAGCGGGGCCTCAGCAGGGGCCCCGGTGCTTGGGGGGCTCCGGTGGCGGAGGATGAGCTCCGAGGGACCCAGAGGCCGCAGCTGGGTAAGGAGCCCCCTCCCCAGACCCCGCGTGGCTCCCCAACTCCTTCCTGCCCAGACACCGCTTGCTGTCAGCTGCCCCCTGCCCCCCCCCCCCGCAGGTGCCCGCCTGCGCCGAGCCCTGGCCAGCCCGTGCCAGCTGTGGAGCCTGCCCCTACCTGTGGCCGAGCTGGGTCTGGGCTACGCTTCGGAGGAGACGGTCATCTTCCGCTACTGTGCGGGCAGCTGTCCCCGCGGCGCGCGCACCCAGCACGGCCTGACGCTGGCCCGGCTGCGGGGCCAGGGACGAGCCCACGGCGGGCCCTGCTGCCGGCCCACCCGCTACGCCGACGTGGCCTTTCTCGATGACCGCCACCGCTGGCAGCGGCTGCCCCAGCTCTCGGCGGCTGCCTGCAGCTGCGGCGCCTAAGGACGCCTGGCCTGGGGCCCCGCGGCTCCGCGAGGAGCTCTGCGGACTTATTTATTGGAGACCGGAGGGGAGGTGGGCTGCGGGCCGCCCGCGAGGAGCATAATAAAGGAGCTGCGGCCGCAGGACTGTGTTCAGCCAGAGTGTGCCTTCACCCCACCACCTCAGCTCCCAACGCTCGGGGAGGCGGTGGGGCCGGGGGGGGGGGTTCCGGGGGCCGCCCCTGCTCCGCTCGGCCCCTGCGAACAGCCAGTGCGCCTGTCCACTCTCCAACTTTATTCACAAACACGGTGTCTCCGAGAAGCTGGGGGAAGGGCCTGGGGTTCAGCAGGCTGGGGGCGGCTGCCCCAGCTCCCCTGGTCCCATCCCCTCAGGGAGGGAGCGGCAGATCACAGAGATGCGTCGGCGCCGGGGAACCCGACGCTCCCCAAAAAAGGACTCTTCATCCCGAAGAATCTCATGGGAGAAGTCATAACGGGCTGAGCCCCTGCAAGAGAAAACAGGCTGTGGCAGCGCGGGGTGAGGGCAGCCCCTGCGCCAGGTGGACTGCTTGCCATGGGGGAATGATCGAGTCCGCTGGGAGGGCTGAAAAAGAGAAGGTGCTCGACATGCTAGGCGGGCATCTGATAAGCTACGGGGGGGGGGGGTGCGGGGGCGGGCTCCCTGGCTGGGCAGTACCTAAGGATGTAGAGGGAGCCTGGCTCCAGCAAGAGTTCCAGCCACTCCCCTGGCTCCTGGGTGTGTACCAGCCGCATGACGCTGGGAGAGAGTAGGGACAGACCAGCGATGGTGGCTCCACAGAACTGGAAGAGGGGGCATGGTGGCCAGTCAGCCTCTGGCCTGGCCGGTCCACCCCCCGCTGGGAGCTCGAAGGCTCTGGCCTCTGCCCACCTTGATGCTGTCCACGTGCGGCTTGATGTAGCCCCGAGGTTCCAGGTCCAGCACATGCACCGGGGACAGCAGGGTCTGGCCAGAACTAAAGGCGGCTGCTTGCACGCGCTGCAGGATGGCCCGGCTTGCCTCTGACCAGCGTGACTTTTCCGTCTCTCGGAAACCGTGGATGGCCTATACAGGGAGCTTCGGTCAAGCCAGGAAGCACCCAGAGGGAACAGGAAAACTGAGGCACGGGGGGGGGGGGGGGGG